TTGCATTGTATTAAATAAAATGTCCTTTTATTTTATATTCGATTAGATCAGAAGACACCTTTAGTAGGACATACCGTTCCCCTATTCATTTTCTTTTCTTATTTAGCTTTTCTTCTCAACTCTCCCAAGCCTCCAAATCTGACGACCCTCAGATGCTTTAATGAAAAGTAAATAATCAGCGACTATGTTCATCATGGTTAGGGTCTGTCCCCTTGTGTGCCTTACATGCAAATGAAAGAGGGTCTTGGAGATCTCTTATAGATCAGGCACTGTACACATTAAATACCCCTTTTAAATAAGTGGCAAATTGCAGTCCTCTCTTACCTGTAACACTTGCAATACAATGGAGTTTCAAAGTAGAACAGAAAATGAAGCTCAAGCGTTGAATGTGTGTAGTTGTGGTGAACATGAGCGGCAAACTATGGGGTCAGATCAGTGTCAAAATGAATAAATGAACACAGAAGGATTCACAAATGTAATTCGGGAATGATATATAAATGTCTTTATCCACACAAATATTTTTCAATGCACAAACAAATACTTAACGTTTATATAAATGTAAAAACGTTTCACAAAATATATTTCTGATCCACATACAGTTAGTAGAATAAAAAAAATGTTTTTTGTGTGCGAATCTCCCTGCATTTTGTGTGAATCTCTCTGCATTTGTGCGTGGATCTTTGAGACTCCCCTGACACTGCTAGATTCACAAATGCAATCATGAACGCAAACGCCCTTGCAAGCTGGAAAGAAGTATGTTCGGAAAGAGCTGACTGTGAAGGATTTTTTTATTTTCCTGGCCATTATCATTTTCACAGGCCTAGAATAAGAACAGAATAAATGTTCATATAACTTCAAATTCCCATCTGATGCCATATCCCTGCAACGCTTCGAAGCCATCATGTGGTCTTTGCACCTGAGCAACCCTGAAGAAGACGAGGAAAACGATCGCAAAAGGAACACCGCAGAGTACGACAGACTTTTCAAGATAAAGCCCCTGTGCACTGAAATCACTGCTGCCTGCAAAGCACATTTCCAGCTCTATCAGAACATTTCAATAGATGTAAGAATGGTCGCATCCAGAGCCCGTATCAGCGAAGCAGTACATGAAGGATAAGCCAACAAAGTGGGGGTACAAACTGTTTCTGCTGGCGGATTCCTCAACGGCATACACCTGGTATTTCTTGGGAAGAGTGAGTTCACCACAGGCCAGGGACTCAGCTACTCCTCCATGATGGACCTCCTGCCACTCCCTCTGCTCGGTGGGGGCTACACAGTCTTCGTGGACAACTTTTACATGAGCCCTGCCCTTTTTGGGGATTTGTCAACAAAAACTTTGGCTGTTGTGGGCCATTCGAAAAAAGACAGAGTTGAATGACCTTCCAAAAAAGGCAGAAAGGGGAGATTTGCGTTGGATAAGGAGAAGCAAGCTCCCAGTTTGTGAAGTGGATGGACAGCCGTGAAGTGTCCATGTGCTCCACAGTGCATGAAGCCTTCGGTGGACAGACTGTCAGGCGGAAAGTGGCTGGTGTGTGGCAGACTAAGACTGTTCCCTGACGCTGTGCTGGACTACAACCGAAGCATGGGCGACCTAGATGTGTCCAACGCTTTGATTGGGTACTACAGCGTTCACCACAAAACAATGAAATGGTACAAGACTTTTTTTTACCATTTTATGGACATTGCAGTGGTGAACAGCTTCCTTCTCCACAAGGAGCTGCACAAGAGGAGGAGTGACCCCAGCAGGACGACGCCACACACACACAAGTCTTTCAGGGAGCAGCTAGCTGCAGAAATGTTGGAGATTGCTGAAGTCCCTGCAGCACCACCACCACTCCCCCCCAACACTCACATGCATGCCCATGTTTTATGTGGAAGATGCCAACCAGTCCAGGAGGTACTGCAGGAAGTGCTCTGATGCTGGCATCAAAAGGGCGAAGACACCCGTGTACTGCAGCAAGTGCCAGGTCCTTCTGTGCTTCACTTAAAAAAATATCTGTTTCAAGGAGTGGCCCAACCAAATATTGTAACATTCAGGTAGGTATAAAGTTTTGCGAGTGTGTTGTTTATTACAAAAACAGAGCTTCTTGTTTTTACCTACCTAGAGTGTGGTTTTATTGTATAGTGTGTTGGTAAAATGTTTGAAATAAATCTGCTCCAGTTGGAGTCAAACCTCATTTCCTATATTTCCTATTTTTTTGGATTTATAATTTTTTTTTTAAACACTTCTATTTGGATGGATGAATACCTATAATGATAATTCAATGTAATTCAATGATTTTTACAGTCTGGTACCTGAAAAAAGTCAAATGGCAGTGATGGTACCCAGAGGTACCCAAATGTACCCAAAGGTTTTGCTAAACCTCTCTAAAAAAGTCAAATGTCACTTGTTTTGCCTCAATCTTGATGCAGGGTACTTATTGAATGTTATACTTTGGATTCATAAAGCTTGTAGTCAACTATCCCATCATTCAAGCTTGTTTTGCACTATAAGTAATGGTTTTTCTTTACTGTGTTCCATCTGAACTTACTCTGACACAGAAACATCAATTTGATTCTGACACTTCTACATCCAACTCACAGATGTAACCGTACTTTGATAAAAAAAAATAAATAAAAATCATATACCCCTTTTAGAAGTGAAGATATAGTCATTTGTTCTGGGCATGTCATTTTCGAGCCTGAAACCTGAAAAACAGGCTCGGGGCGGTTAAGAGGGAAGTGTCTGTAGCCAATCAGATGTCTGCTTCATGTTATGCCACTCCCATGATTGCATTCCCATGAGGGTGTGCCATTGAACCACGCCCACTCCTGCATTAGCGTAACTCTGCTGACTGCATCTGGGCTGTACAAAGAAAACCATGTTAATGGTTAATACTAGGGGTGTAACGGTCCACAAACATTTCGGTTCGGTACGTACCTCGGTTTTTAGGTCACGGTTCGGTTCGGTGCGTTTTCGGTACAGCAGAAAAAATGATCACAAAACATAAAATATTTCTTGTTTTTTTAAGCTGTCAACTAAGCCATGCCCGGGAAGCCAAAGCCGATGTGTACACATGGGGGCTTCACATGATTGCTTATATTGCAATTTGCATTTTTTAACTCCTGCACTTTTTGAAAAAACCTTCATGTGGAGTCCACGACGCAGCGTCGTAAGTCTCATCGAGTATGTGTGCCGCCGCACGTCAACAGGCGGGAACGCCGCCCCCCCGACTTTGAGCGTGTGTGTGGTTAGTGTACTAGACTAGGGGGGCGGGTTCGTGTGTCTTGTGCTGGACAAACCTACCGATCTCGAGCGGACCCGTATGACTCACAAGCTAACCGACTGCGAGCAACTCCGCCGTTTTCATCTTGTAACGAGATGAGAGTAAACGGGTCGCTCGGTGCGCTCTCTTGTGATACGAAACGAGGGTGCTTTACGCGAACCGCTTAGCACTGCAGTGGCGGGGCGTTCAAGTTCACTGACCCGCTTCGTCACTTCGCCGTGGCGTTGGCGGCGGCACACAACCCGAATTAAGACACGAGTGTCAAGTGGCGCAGTATGCTCGCTCGTTCAGGAAAGTTATACCCTGCTCCTCCGTAGTAGATACTCTCGACCAGGTGTCCGTGAGACGCAAGTTAGCATCAGGTCATTAAACTCCTTGACAGCTTTAACCACTTGCGTCTATTTCAACTCGGAGCTTTAGGAGGTCATAGTACGACTTCAGAGGGCCAAGAGCCCTTGTCAAAACCAAAGCGTCAATGCGATGTTCCCTACTGCCTGTTGTCTGTCCACCGGCTTGGTTGCGACAAACAGCCTGTAGACAAGTCGATGTTTAACCAATGGCGTCGACGTCGACTGTTATGAGTTTGAACGTGGGAGTAACACTTTCCGAGTGGCTGTGCACTTATAGTGGCCCATGGGGTTTTCTTTTTCTGACTCACATTTGTGTGAGGGTGATCGTAAATCGAAGGTGCGTGAGCCTGTTCTCACAGTCTGGCTCGGTTGGATTCAATGTTTGCGTTTATAGGAATGTCATACAACAGTACAATCCGTTCGTGGATGGACCGACATAGACGATGGCAGACAGGGATCGCTCTCCCACAAGAGGTGTCGTACTATGTAACAATCACGTCGTCAGGACGGAAAGCCGTTCGTACACCTGTTCAATAAAAAATAAATTTTTTGTACTTTATGTTACGTGCGTCGTCAGATTACAGTCTTGACCGGACGAATCCATTGATCAGTGTCATGTCAAGTTTAGCTAATAAAGTCAAGAGGTTTTACGACCGTGAAATTACAAATAAAATAATATAAAACATAAATGAAACTCACTTGATAAGTTTCCAAAGTATATTCAATTTTTGGTTTTGATTATCAAACAAAACCACTCATGATCAGGGTCCATTCAGTTTATGCTAATAGAGAGTCAAGTAGCGCTTACGACGGCAATGTACAAATAACAATAAATCATAAAAACATAAATAAAACTCACTGTATGTAATAAGTCANAAAAAATACTTTTTAAATACTTTTTTAAATTTTGTATTCAATGTTACAAAACAAAAATGACCATGTTCAAGTTTTAAAGTCATCCTGAGGCCTTAGTTTTGGTTTCAAATTACACAACATCATGTATGTAAAACTAAGGCCTCAGGATGACTTTAAAACTTGAACATGGTCATTTTTGTTTTGTAACATTGAATACAAAATTTAAAAAAGTATTTAAAAAGTATTTTTTTTAAATCCCGATCCCCGATTTTTTTTCTCCCGATTCCGATCTTTTGAAAATCACGTGATCGGCTCCGATCCCCAATCACGTGATCGGATCGGGACATCTCTAGTCAGAGTGCATCTTCCACTGCTGACTGTGTGTTTGACAGGGGATCTTTGTAAATCGCAGCATTGTAACACAAGAGTAGCACTAAAACAATACAAATGGGGAAGACGATGAAGAGACTAAATGATGCTCTTGATGGAGTTCTGCTGTAGTGACACCCTGCTCTCTGCTCTCCTGCAGGACTTTGCCAACACCATCCCCGGACACGGCGGCATCATGGATCGATTCGACTGTCAGTACCTGATGGCCACCTTCACACACGTCTACATAGCCAGCTTCATCAGGTGAGGAGAGCAACAGAGGCGATGGTGAAATAAAACAAAACTGTTACCAGGTCCTTTACAGTCATTAAAAGTGGTATATGTTTGTATTTCATTTGTTGTAATGCTTCAGGTGGCTGTTTGAAAAAAGGTACCACGTTCTGAGTTAAATGCAAATATATATCTTTATCAAATAATAGTGTATATATACATTATTAAGGGTGTCGACTGATTACAAATGTTATCCCCTTAATCCCAATAATAATCTTTGATTAATTGCAAGTTTAAAATATTTATACAGTTAATACTAGTTAATACTAGTTAACTAGTATTTCGGGAGACGAAACAAATGAAAATGCAAGCAATGCATGGCAAACTGTTAGGAGAAATCAGAGGGACGGTATTATAACAGCGTAGTTTTGATGATTTTCCGCTGTCTTTGGGAGCCACTTATGATATATGGTAGTATTCTTGGTGCTGCTTTCAAATGACTAGCACCATCTGTTCCTACACTGTTGACATGTCCGCCATCGGCCACTTCTGTTCAACTTTAAGAAACTGGTTAGCACCTGACTCAGCGAAACGCCTTTCATCCGTTAATACAAAAAAACACCTACAGCAAACGAGTGCAGAACATTTGTTATGGATCAGGTGTGTTGCTTCACCAAAGTAATGATGGCTCTTACTGATGTCCAGCAGTCTCCAGCCAGTAGAATACATGTAGCTTGAGCCAGTTCCTCCGCTTTCTGTGCCTTCTTACTGCCATGTGATTCATGGTAAACATCTGGGCTGCAATTAGGGGAGGAGGTTCGGGTCAAATGTTGGTAATGTGATTCATTAGCGTTTATTCAACTGGGGAAAGAAGCAGAAAATGAAAGGTGAAAGTCCCCCGACAGTCTGAGCCTTTAACAGTATAACTAGGGGCTGCTTCAAGGCAAGCCTGAGCCAGCCCTAACCATAAGCTTTATCACTAAGGAAAGTTTTAGCCCTGCCCTTAAATGTTAAGAGTGTGTCTGCCTCCCGAACACAAACTGGTCCCACTGAAGAAGGGCTTGATAGCTGAAGGCTCTGGCATAAATGTTACTTTTGGAGACTCTAGGACCAACTTATAATGCATTCTGGTAAATGTAATGCCCTGGTCCCTTTCCACATTCCACTGGGGTCACATGTCATTGTTGTCTTGCAGGGGGCCGAACCCGAGCAAGGTGCTGCAGCAGCTGCTGATGCTTCAGCCCATACAGCAGCTCGGCGTCTTCCACACTCTGCACTCCCACCTGAGAGAGAGGGGCATGCTCCCCCCAGCCGCCGCCCCCCAGGCTGAATGAGAGGCAGCCTGCTTCGCTGGGTGACGACTGGAGAGTGTGTGATGGTTTGGAAAGTTTGTGTAAGCTTGTACACACACACACACACTCACACACACACTCTTAGGTATGGCGTCATCGTCATCCTGCCGACTCTGCATTCGACTTCCAACCAGCGCAAAAATCACAACTTTGAACCTTTGGTGACTCTCCAGACTACTTGGAAATACCTTGTAGTAAAAAAAGAAACACACAATACCAACAACAATAAAAAAAAAATCGGCTGCTTCATTGCTTTTTTTTACGTGGACCTGTGCATAAACTTCAACATGCATCACGGAGAACAGGCAGTCCCCATCCTGAAAAGGTACAGACGGAGCTGTTTTCTGGAACAAACGGACCCTTGAGCACATGGCTTTCTCGGCGCCGGTGGATGGCTGATGTGCGGTTTACCTGTGGACGGCAAATATTGCACTGACTTTAGCTGAAGAAACACATTTAAGAAGCTTTTACCAGCAGAAACTGGGCCCAAAGTGTCGGGCACGCGGACCTGAGCTACAGCACACGGACTGTGGAGACTCGTCTTTCTGGTCTGGGTGGTCTGAATACTGTAGACACTGTTTTATATACTCTGCTCTATGTAATGGTCCCAACCTCACAGCGTAACAAAACATGTAGCATGTACGCAAGTCCTGTTTTGGGCTACTGCTGAACTAAGCCATGTTTATTCTCTTCTTCCACAGCGTGAACTCTTAGCTTTTAGGTTTTGTCTGAATCTAAATAACTCGCACAACTTAAAGTCAATAAAGATTGACGGTAGGCATGTTAACGCAGAAACTAGAGCATCAGAACTCAAGTTAATAGATTTGTATATAAATAGCCTATACTGAAAATATTTAGCTAAATTAATATCTAATACATATTCTAACTACTTGTGTGACCTGCTGAGGAAAAGAAAAAAAGACTTTTAAGCTATGAGAAAAATATATGCAAAACTAGATATGTGACTTGTAGCCTTTAGCATGAACAAATTAGATTTATATGAGGTAGGGATGTAGATTTGATCTATGGTTGCTGATTATTTAAAGGGTGTGCTGGGTGAAGCTTTACGAGAGTGCATAAAGGATTTATAGGAATAGTTGGATATTTGGGAAATGCGCTTAACGTTCCGTTTAATTGGTTTGTACCACTCTTTTCTGTAGCTGGAAGGTTAAAAGCAAAAAGATTTAAGACGTTTTCTTAAATCTTCTCGTCCACGATCTCGTCCATCTCTGGGACAGAAAGCGCATTTCCCAAAATGTCAAAGACTGCTTCCGTTATAAAAATGTAACCAATGATTTTAGTTGCACTGTAGCGATGGGGGGGGGGAGAGAGAGAGAGAATGCATCGGACCACTCTGAAGGTTCCCGCATCCTCGGACTCAATGTGTGTTTTAAATGTTTAAAAGTAACTATTTTAAAATCTTCTTAGGCATTAAATCTCTGTTAAATTATTACGTTCTGAATGTAGATTGCAATATAGGATGTTATCAATGATGACAGTGCTGTATTTCCAAATATCTTTAAGTATATACAAATCGGACTGGCAGTGGTTTTATGAGCAATATCTTAACAGTTTGATTTCTTAGAACGTGATCATTGAATTCCTCTGGAAATCTGAGGCATTCATGATTAATGAATGAAGATGATGCATATAGGCGAGTTGATTGGCAGCACCATGCGGGCCGATGAGATCCTCTGAATCCTTTATTCAGAGAGAAATGTTTACCAAAGCACTGTCTGATTATCAATGATTTCCTTCCTTTGCTAACATTTGCATCTGTGGCTTGTGCAATTGCTTTCACTCTATCCTTCCTCCAGGTGTTGAACGAGGAGGATGTTCTAATTTATTTGGTCATTTTTTCTGTTCATGTTTCCCTCATAGAAGTGCATTTTAGGGTGTTTTCCCAATAAGAAGTGAATGGGGATGCTGCTGGGTAGACTGTTGGGACCAGCTGTATTGTACTGTATACATATCTGACTTCAACCTCTCTGTGGCAAAACACACACACTACTGCTTCACACACTTTTCTGTGGTTGACCTTCACTGTCCAGCAAGATGAAGTAAAGCATATATCCACACGGACGGTGATCACACTAAAGCATTACGACCAAAACTCAACTCAAGACAGCAGGTGGCCAAATGATTTGGATTATTTGGAGTGTGCCACCGGAATAACTAAACACCAAGTGAATCTGTCAAAAGATCAAAGCATTTAATAACTCTAAAGTGATTTAAAACGTTTACATTTTAAGGATGCAATAGGACTTTGTATAACTTTTTGTTGTACTTTCCATGTTTCAAATATAATCTGCCTCAATTAATGGTTATTTTAATTTTAAAATGAATACATGTACAATTGTTCAACCATTTAACTTGGTAGTATTTATAAAATGAACAATTCCATTTATTTATTTTTAATCAGTCCCTCATTTTGTTTTTTTCTGTAAATGTCAGGAAAAAAATCCCTTTTGAGAAATTTGTAATGGATGAGTAGATAAAAACAATTGATTATTACATTTTAGTTGATCAACTATCAGCTGTCAATTTGTTAGATAATTTTGTCAGTTTAAATGGAATACAAAATAAAATGTAGGTAGTTTCCAAACTAATTTATTTATTCTTAATGGACAAACTATTCATTTGCAAAAATAAACGGTTAAATCGTTTTTATCAAATACATTATAACAACAGAGGATTAAGGCTGATGTGATCATTTAAGATATGAGCGATTTTTTTATTTATTTTTTCTCAATTTTGATTTAAATCTCAACTCTACAAAAAAATCACTTTGGGTCGCATTAATAAATATATATATAGAAATATAGAAACATCTGGCATTAATCGTCTTCCATCTATCATTTATTTCATCATAATTATTTCAGTGTCACTTTTTATTATAACTGAGAAGTGTATTATTACATTGGCACATTCCACAGATTCACAGTTGCCGTTTGAATTAGAATGAAGTTGTTGTGTGGACTCATTTTATATCTGTATTCAAGTTATGAAGGTAAAGCACAACCGTGAAGATAGGAAATATAAGTTTTGTAACCCAAATGTCAGGTAATTATGCACTGCAGATGTTTGGTTCCTTGTCTTTTTTTATTTATCATTTTGTGAATATTTTTGTTTGATTTGCTTTGAGTAGGAATGTTTTCTAATGAAAATCTTTAACTTTTGGAGGGGAGAAGATCAAAAATGACACAGGAAGTATGCGTTTAATATCGGGGCAATACAAAGTAATGTATAAAAACACATATTGATATCTATCTTCTTAGGGATATTGTGAAGCTGTTTACTGTTTGGAGGTAAATAAAGTTTTTTTTTCTGTAAAATGTCGTAGATTTTGTTTTTTATGTTTCAAAAATAACAAGACGAAGAAGTTCCACATTGAAGGAGTTATTTCAGATTTATTCAGAAAACAAATGTTGAGTTTTTGATTTGACACCTCGTCACAGACATGAGTCTCTAAGGTCAGTATTAAACACACATTATTATAATCACATCATCACTACAGCACAAACAGTGACACCTCCTGGAAAAAATGTACTTGACAGTTTACAAAAAGAAAGAATGATAATTTCCAGTTTAAATAATTGTTTTCTCATTTTAAAACCATATAATAACAGAGTTGACATTAAAAGGCAGGATTGAAAGAAAAACCTGAAATCATGACTTCAAGTGAAATAAAACAAAAGCTATGCACAACCTGGCCTTTCCTTTTCCTTTTCCTTTTAAATGGAGTTGTGGGTGTGATTTTAAGTGCACAGTTGTCCTTCTAAAAATAAAACAGTTGATGACATGGACATAACTGTAAAGGTGAGATAGCATAACTGGGCATTACAAACACAAATCTTATTTATAAGCAGTGCAATTTGACATGTCATGGCCATACCCTTTCAATGTTTAAAGTGCTAATACTACAGACGTATTCAGTGTACGTTGACCTGTTAGCTGGTTTGCTAACAGGTGAACTCCAACATTTACATTCTTGTAAAAATCTGAGAGCAGACAAACATTAAGAAAAAAATCAACCTTTCCTTGTTTTATACAGACTATTTAAATACTTTAGCTCAAGTATTTTTTTTCTGCAACATGCTTAGCAAATCTTTGTTAGATAAATAGCGGTTAAATTAATAGCTGATAAGGCTACATTTTAACCAAAACAGTTGGACAGACTTTTCACCTTACACCTTTACTTGGCACAGAAACCGAGTAATAGTTATAAATGCTTGCTTTCTCTTTGATTGAAGTCTATAAACGGCTATGTTAGGACTCAAACTAGCTCATATGACTTCAATTCATCCCTGTATACAAAACAGCTATTACCCAGTTTGACCTTTTGCTACATCCGGACGAAAATCAAAGTGAAAAACCATCTTATGGATCATAAAACACCTAGCTTTCGAGAGTTTTAAGATAATTTGCTAAACAAAACTAGCATTAGTTTCTTCTTAAATTATTGTTTGATAAAAATAAATGAAATGATAGGCTTTGGCCATCAGTATCATCCTGTCACCACCATACTTTGCCTTTTAATATGTGTGGTCACCTCTAATCCCATTTACACAGATTCCTTTTCAACATTAGAAGCAGTTTAAATGTTGAAAAAAGAATATCCTCTTCATGTGATTCTCAATGCAATCGCTAACAGTTACTCTTTCAGAGACCTAGCATTTAGGGAACAATGCCTCACTGCTCTGTGTAAGTTTCACTTTCTGTAGCTACTTCCCTGTGGGGGGCCCTTCGTGCTTAAGAGGTTAAGCTAGCTAGGTTACTAAAGCATTGAATGGCACTCTTGTCTCGTCATCTTCCTCTTCTACAACACTCCCCTGGTCGGGCCTGTCAGGACAGAAAGTTAGCCGTAGCATTGCTAGCCCACCGCGCACCAACAGCCTTAGAACAAGAAAAGCAAAGGGCACCGTAATCTCCATCAGGTGGAAAATCGAGGCACTAAATTTACTCAGAATACAAGTAAGGAAAAACGTCCCAAGAGCTACGCAGGGGTACAGAGACAGCTTAGCTAGCATAAACACATGCTCGCGTCCGCCATATCGTACGTAAGGGTGCAGAGTTTCTTGTTCGTTGTAAAGAGCGACCACCCAAATAGCGAGCTGAAATATACCAGCAAAGAAAATGATCACGCAGCTGATCTGAATGGCTTCCAGTTCATTGCGAGAGTTGCGTGGGAATTCATGCGTTAGCTGGTAGGCTAAAGGCAATCCTCCGACAAAGGCCAGCGAGAAAGTGTTGAGCATGCTCATGAAGCGCGTTGCCTTGGTTACATGGAGGAAGAGCGAGTGGTGCACAAACCAGAGGAGGCCAACGGTGGCGAAAGAACCAAAGTAGGCGAGGTACTCTGGGCCGTAGTCCTGCAGAGCTGCTATCAGGCTCCCGCCAAACTGTTTCTGCACCACAGTCGGGTCTGGAACGTTGTCCTCGCTAAAGAAATGCAAACGGAGACAATACATGTTAAGTGTCCAGTGCGATTTTCTCACTCTTTTATTGATAGGCTATTTGTAATATTATGAATAAATGTGGGCACTTTCCAAAACATTAGCTAGCCAGAAGTTAGCATCTTATGTAACCATTACCAGTGCATAAATACAATGAGTGCAACATGTGCATAGGATGTATGCATATATGATTTTCTTTATAGAGCAACATCATGGAATCCCCTGATGCATGGCTTTGTGATTTAGTTGTCTAACAATATAACTTTGTCCTAAGTTTACACATTCAAGAAAATGTAATGAAACCCACCATATGTCTAGGATGAGAAGCGTTGCTACGATGGCATAAACTCCATCGCTGAACGCCTCCACTCGATCCTTGCTGAGGGGCTCCTCAGGCAGGAAGGTGTAAAACAAAATGGAGTCTGGAGTCTCCTCTACCTGACCTGAAATGCACAAGACAGTAGCCGTAATGAATTGCAACTACATCTACTCTCAAAGTATATCTGGCTAGAGGTTAGCTCATATTTCCTGTGTTACTCACTATAGCATGTCGTAGGCTACTTACCAATTGCTTTGCTGCGACACCACTTCAAAGACCTAGAGATGTACGGCAGGAAGATGACAATTGCCAAGAGCACGTAGGACTGAAAAACAAAATCAAAATGTTACAAGAAAGAAAAGATTTACAGCAACAACAGTTGAGTTTAAAGTAGGTCAAATAGTTGCTGTCTCCGAATGAAATGTGTGCTGAAACAACTAGCCGTAACATATAAATGAATTGTCATTAAAAACGCAAAATTCTGTCTGCCTCTTGGCCACGGTCTCCCTTTCACAATAAAAGCCTCGGACAAACACAGTAAATATCAAAACCTTCCTACTAACTTTGGTATTATTATGATTGTTTCTTGCTTTGGACAGTAGCCTGCCTGCTAGCATGTAGCCAAGTTGCTAACGATATATCCTTTAACTGCCAGCGCCACCATTTGGTAGAGCACATTTTGTGTCTTGATATCTTGTTGAAAAAGAAGTTGAACTCCATCTGATTCAGCTAGCTCTACCTTCTGGTTGACGTCTAGATGTCACTTTGGTTTGAACAGAAAGCCCTTCAGCTAGCTTACACTGAGAAAGTTGGCAATGCTAAAAATCACTGCTGAAGAAATCACTCTTTTTGGTCAACTCTTGTAAGATAACCATATCCCTTTTGACATGTTTTAGTGTCAGAGCACTTACTGAACATATTTAGATAACTTGATGCACAAAAAAAGTTTTTAACAAGGGTGTAATTAATTTTTTGAAAATATGCTCAACCAATCGGTCAAATTGGCTTTTTATGGTCAACTAGCAATATGACTTTTTCAGAGTTTCAGAGATGTTTTCTAATAAAATATGGTAAGTAAATAGCTAGATTCATGGTAATATTACTAAATCTAGTACTGCCTTATGAGTCTCAGAGTGAAAGAGTGATAATAATTGATATAGCACCTTTCATGCATCATGGCATTCAGCCCAAAGTTGCACACAGATGAGCAAGTTAGGCCAACACAGGATATGGACATTTGCTGTTAGGCCAGTGGTTTCCTGTTAGGCCAATTCAGCATATACAGTAAGATGAGCAAGTCTTTTTTATTATTATGAAAAACACTTTACATTACCTTTTTCCATCCTTTTTTACAATTATAATTTATTATCTTTTATGAATATATCTGGTTGTATATATTGCTCATTTTCCATAAAAGAAACATTGTATTTCAGTTTGTTTTACTTGAGTTTGATGCATACAAATACTGTACTGTATATGATGATTGTTGAAAATGCACTTTTACCATAAAAGGCCAGCTCGACCAGTTGGTAGAGGCTCATAAAAACAAAACTGTCTGGTCAGTAAAAAAAAAAAAAAAATTGTTTGTGGTTATTTGTGGCCCATTTGATAAAAAATGCAAACAAATAATTTTTCCATAGCTTTTTTCTTGGTCTGGCAGTTACAGGGTTAAGATGTGACGGCAGATGACTTTGATATGCGTCTGCCATCGTGAAACTCAATTTTCCAGGGATGAATTACTAAGATATACTGTAAGTAAAGTCTAAAACATTAAAGCATTTTAGCAAGTTATTGCAGCAGATGGAAAATGGTTCTGAAGCACTGTAACTTAAATCCTTAGTGTGTTGGTCATGATCAGTTGTTTTAGTGAACCGCAGAACAACACTTTAATCGATGCGGACGCAAGGAATTATTAGATAGCATTATCTCCTTCCCTTTTCTAAAGGATAGTCCAGTGTATCCTAAGCTAAGGAGATGATAAAGAAATCATAGAAGCACCTTTCCTTATCATCGAGAGGATTTGATCAGCTCTTATTATGGCTGCAATNTGTGATTCCATATATGTGTTCTCCCATCACCCAAATCCCCTGACTATTCTCTCAACTCAGTATTTACATTCTTTAATTCAAAGAAAATCAGTAATATCTTTAAAAACTACAAGTGCTTTTCTATCAGCTGTGCATCTACCAATTGGATCAAATAAAAAAGTCAGCCGAATTAGTATTGATACTGCAAGGAGACGTATTGTGTGAAGAGAAATTGAAGATGTTGAATAATTGCTGATATATTTATGACCCACGCCACGTCACATATTCAGTTTCGGCGGCAGTTCTTCCAGTTTGTCCAGAAGTCTTCTCATCAGGGCTCTGTAAATAGAGAACTACGGCAGATGTGTAATATTTAATGCAGCCGAACCGTGTATTACAATGTCGTTATGTGATGACTTTCAAAGAGAAAAGCAAGCACACTCGGATTAAAGTATTATTATTTTTTTTTATGTTTTCGGATTTCATATCGCATAAATACCACATCCCAACGTGCATTGCGGCTAAACCANCCAATAACCGAGCTTCAACCATAGCTGAGGATCTTGGTTAATCAGTTCAGTGGGTGTGTATCGCAATGACGCTCGAAATGTCCCATATATAGGCCTGTGTCTGTTTCCGGTATTGTTTATGATGGATGTATTTTGTTATACACACATTCCTTCATATTTCAATTTAAATTTACATTAAAGTATTTTGTGAGGCCTTCTAAAATGTTTTTTAAAATATATAGGGTTCTAGTTGAACAGTTTATAAATGAACATGAACCCGAGCTGTTGCCTGGCAACGCAATTATGTTGATAGTTATGGCTGATAAGGCTTATTACTTATTGGCTTATTACTGTTTTGATATTTTAAACCTCAAACCGATAGAAAAACCCCACAGCAACATAGAAAATACGGTCATAACATGACCCGGCGCTCTAATAGACAAAATAATTTCATACATAATATTATTAATGACTTTATTTTGAAATTCAGTTCCTGACGGACGGCAAAAAAGCCCAAGATTATAGAATGAAACAAATAAATAAAAACAAGGATAATTGTGTGTTATTGTTGAGTAAATAACAGTGTGTTATTTAGAAAAGAATAAAAAATTAGAAGGAAAAAAAGATTTAAAAAATACAGATTTCAGTATTTATTTTCCTCACGGACGGCAAAAAAAGTCAGACATTATACATATTACAATAAAAACAATAATCGTGGCTTGATATTTAGTAAGAACATGTTTTTATGAACCACACAGCTTTCGGTCTTCCAAGACCCGACCGACTAAAAAGACATATTGCAGGCACGAAACATACTACCAATAGAAATACATTGCTTTTAAAATCGTTCTGTGTGACACGAAAAAAAGGGGAAAATTGTGTTGGTGAACACGAATCAATAGATTAAATGTCGTGACTATAACACGAAATGCCGTGAGACCGGGTTGAAAAAACACACTTACTGTAGAAATCCTATGATGTGCTTCATTGCATGATTTGTACTTCAAAACATTTACATTTAGATATGTTTGTAGGAGAGTATTTGACACAATAGTAACTTATTGAATATGTTGTCACTACACCAGTGAGTAACTTGGAAACAGTGAATTTCCAAAACTAGCCATGGACTCAAACTGGCTTCTGCATGGCTGAGCCCTGTTTAACACAGCAGACATAAAAAAGTATTCTACAGCATGAGGACAAAAGGGAAAAACAGTTGTTGGCCTTTCTAGTACTTTAGCCTCTGGTTGTTTGGAGCAATTGCTGGGACTGGAACACAGTTGCTCACAGGGGACTGGAATCATGTTTCTTGGCTGATGGGCCTTAACAACTGCTCCAAGTTATTTTCCCTCAGCACACATTATAAAATATAATCAAACCACCAAGTCTTACCGAACAAAAGCTGGCCTCAGTAGCTGTCCTTCAAGCAGGTTCAAATCAAGAAGATAGGCAGAGGAGAGGGATCCGCCCCTTTGTATAGACTCTGCTTGTCTTCAGGGTCCTAGTGCATGCTTCTACTCTGCTCACCCTTCTATTTTCCCCTTTCTTATTTCTTTCAAGGGAGCAGATAAAGGGATATATTGCACATAATTGAAGTTTCAGCGTTATTTTGTAAAATTGTATTTTGTATACTTAGATTTCTTGTTTCTATGTTGTTGTTTTTTTTAAGTATTTGTTTAGCTCCTTTTTTACAACTGAATATCCTTACTATGTTCATATATGAACCATTGTACAACAAAGCAATTTCCTTTGTAAACCTACTTTGCTAAACCACTGTTTCATTATTTCTAATTCTGATATCTCTTTTAAACCTGCACCCATGCCAATAAAAACCACAAACTACACAGGGAACAACCCCAAGACAAGAAACACTTCTAAAATCTGTTAACATTTTCACATCCGCACCGACAGATCCCAAAAGATCAGAAGATAACTTGTACCTGTTTGTTTCAGCCTAAAGCTCCAGAGACACACACGTAGATTGAGTTTGGTGAATTTGAGGAGTCATGGGCAGGAATCACAATTATCTAGGATCCACACCTGCCGGGGATCAAAAATTAACTGAACTTCCTCTGACCGTCACCCCTCATTCCTCTCACAGCGGAAAGGGTCAGGAGCACCGGCGCTTTCTACCATGCTGTTGAGCGCAAATATCACACAGAATCCAAAAAAACAAAACACATATCATTTCCTCAACATCTGCTACCACAGCAGGTTTGGGCCTCCTGTAAGCTGGCAGGGCCTTGTGCGACTGACACGAAGTGGATTTAAACCAATAGGGCGATTATAACTGCAGCCAGGCAGAGCTCGGACTTGCCAAATGCGGCGCAGGCAGGCTGCTGTTTCTCAATAATTGGAGAGACAATTGTAAGCCCTGAGCTACTTTTAGAGTGTTAATGGAAGTCTCTGTTTTGGATAGATTTGTTTACAGAAAGGAGTACACCTCTCACTATTATGTCCTATGCTATAAATCCGTCAAACATAATGGTCCATGGAGATGGTCATTCTGTGACTAATAGGTCAGACGTGTATGAGTACAATCCCTCCAGCCATGCATAACTGGCCGTATCAGAACAAATAAGGTATACTGACTCCTCGGTTCCAGTCCAACACGTTCATTTCCCACCCATATCGTATATTGCTGAGGTAGGGAACAATTGTTCTGCTACATCCCCCACCCCCTCCTCCCTGTTTTCACTTTCCCTCTTCTAATTCAGTATATCTGAGAGGCAGTCTGCAGGGAGGAAGAGAATGAATAGAGAGGTGGAGGAAGTGGCTGTTTTCCAAAG